TAAAAAATGATCGAGCATGCCTACAGCTGCATCTCAGTGGTATTATGTAAATTAAGCTCTGGCAAAGCATCTGTTTTCTAATGTTTCTGCTGTCAAAGATATACAAAATAGCTCTATAATAAACAGCTTAACAACACATAAAGTATTCACACAATATAAGGCATTTGGGGGGGACAGTAGGAGATGGTCACGTGAACATGAACTCTTTCCTATTTAAGAGAATTTTTTTTTTTTTTTAAAGATTTTTTATTTATTTGACAGCGAGAGAGACAGCGAGAGAGGGAACACAAGCAGCGGGAGTGGGAGAGGGAGAAGCAGGCTTCCCACGGAGCAGGGAGCCCGATGCGGGGCTCGATCCCAGGACCCTGGGACCATGACCTGAGCCGAAGGCAGACGCTTAACGACTGAGCCACCCAGGCTCCCCTTAAGAGAATTTTTATGAATAAAATTATCACATGGATATTCTAGTGTTCTTTCTTATTATATTAACTGCTCCTATTCAAAACTCATTGATTATAGAACACTACTCTTAAAAACTAGAATAGTGTTTTCTAATCTTTTTAATACTCAAGGTTCTCTTCTGAATTTTCCACATACTCTGCATATCTTAATAAGTAATTTGTTTTCTCTTTCTAATCTGTGTGTTATCACACTCAGTTGATTTAATTTCAGTTAAAAGCAAAGAAACTTGACAGTTTATCTTTCCTATATAGTCTTGAAGGTAAATGTTTCATGTTTCTTCAATTTTTAAAAATACTCCTAAATCACTGGCCCTCATAAATGTTCTTGTGCATCTTTAGGACCTTGAAACAACATTAAATAGGAGAACTACCAAAGTCAGTTCTATGGTCACTCTTCAGTTGTCTACAACAGTGCTGTCCAATGGAAATGTAATGCAAGTCACAAATGTGATTTAAGAAGTTTTAGTAGCCATATTTTAAAATGTAGAAAAAAAAACAGATGACCTTAACTTTATTTTTTTTAAAGATTTTATTTATTTGAGAGAGAGAGAGAGTGAGAGAGAGAGCCCAAGAGGGGGGGTAGGGTCAGAGGGAGAAGCAAACTCCCCGCTGAGCAGGGAGCCTGACGTGGGACTTGATCCTGGGACTCTGGGATCATGACCCAAGCCGAAGGCAGTCGCTTAACCAACTGAGCCAGCCAGGCACCCAACAGATGACCTTAACTTTAATAAGTAATTATGGCAATGCAAATTAAAGCCACAGTACAGAGGATAGGCCCAGTGTCAGGAAGAAGGAGGACAAACTAGAATACACCTGCACTCCTGCAAATTTCTTTCCCTACCTGTAACCAAAGGAAACTATAGAGAGTAATGCCTATGGCTTCACTTCCACCTCCCAAAACTCATGTCACTTTACTTTTAGGGAACTTTAATGAGGAGCCATAAAGGAAGGAAGAGTCTAGGAAATATAGTTCCCAGTATAAAGAGATTAACGATTTGAATAGTCCAGCACAATGAGATACCACTACACGCTCATCACACTTGCTAAAATAAAAGCGACTGGTGACTTGCAATGATATGGATGGAACTAGAGGGTATTATGCTAAGCAAAATAAGTCAGTCAGAGAAAGACAATTATCATATGATCTCACTCATGTGGAATTTAAGAAATAAAACAGATCATAGGGGATCATAGGGGAAGAGAGGAAAAAGTAAAATGATGAAATCAGAGAGGGAGACAAACCATGAGAGACTTAACTATAGGAAACAAACTCAGGGTTTGGAGGGGAGGGGGTGGGGGGGATGGGGTAACTGGGTGATGGACATTAAGGAGGGCACTTGAAGAAGTAATGAGCACTGAGTGTTACAACTGATGAATCACTAAATTCTACCTCTGAAACTAATAATACAGTATATGTTAATTAAATTGAATTTAAATAAAAAATTTTCCAGTTTTCCAAAATGGTTGTACCAGTTTAAAATGGTTGTACCAGTTTACACTCAGCTGAAACTGTGAGTTTTACTTGCTCTGTGTCCTCACCAAGATTTGGTATTTGTTGTTGTTGTTTTTGTCATCGTCGTATAGACATTTATCTGTTCTAATCAGATCTTAGGCATAAATGTGTGGTATCTCATTGTGGTTCTAATTTGCATTTCTCTGATGATTAGTGAAGTTGAAAACTTTTTCTCAAGTTTGTTGGTCTTTGATACCCTCTTTTAAGGCGTGCCTGTTAAGTCTTGCCCATTTTTAAATTTCTGATGTTCTTTTGTTAGTTTGTAGAGTTCTTTATATATTCCAGATAAAAGCCCTTTGTTAGGGATGTGTCTTATAAATCCCATCTCCTGCTTTATAGCTTGCCTTTACACTCTCTTAATTGTGTCTTCCAATTACGTTATTAACTTTGATGTAGTCAGTTTAACAAAATACTTTTTTATTTATGTTTAGTGCTTTGTGTCCTGCTAGAAAAGTCTCACACCACTCACACCATACCTCAGCCATGCTGGCCTTTCAATTCCTTGAAGGAGAATTGTGCTCCCTACTTCTTCCTTGAGAGTTTTCCCTCCTTTTCTCCTTGTTTTTACTTGCTTATTCTTTAACTTTTAGGTCACATATTTCCTCAAGGAACTCCTCTGTGACTCGCAGGGTAGATGTAGTTCTCTCTGTTCTACACTCATAATCCTCTGTGTTTTGCTTCCAGAGAAGCTCTTCCATCTTTAAAGTAGATTTTTGTACTATTAATTGTTCCCATCCGTTTCTCTAATTAGCATGCAATCTCCAGGAGGGCAAGGATCAAGTCTCTTTTGCTTACCACTGTATGCTACTCCTTTTGTTTAGCTCAGTTACTGGCATATAATAGGCGCTCATTAAATATTGAGTTTGCCTACGGTTTTATGTTTATGACATTTTGTAGTCTATATAGGGAACATGTCTGAGACATTTATATAGGCCTTGGAGAACAAAAATAAGATATTGATAATAAGTTAATCATGTAAGTGATTACATGCTCTATACCTTCCTATGTCTTGGGGAGTCCAAGAGATTCTGGAGTAAGGATGCTTTTCCTGTTCTCTCTGGATTAGAATATACCCTCACCTAGATTTTCACAATAGTTAAGTGTTTTTCCTTTTCCCATTTCTTGAGTGATATTTTTATGCTTAAGTTGAAAGCTCTGTAGTGAGGGAATATATCACATTTAACGTAAATGGCAGTAAAACTGCTCAAGCAATGGGTGTGTGATATAGACATACTGCATCCCAAAGATTTTGAACAGTTGTGTTTTCATTTTCATTTGTTTCCATGAATTTTTTATTTATTTATTTTATTTATTTATTTATTTATTTTTTAAAGATTTTATTTATTTGACAGAGAGAGACACAGCGAGAGAGGGAACACAAGCAGAGGGAGTGGGAGAGGGAGAAGCAGGCCTCCCGCTGAGCAGGGAGCCCGATGCGGGGCTGGGATCATGACCTGAGCCGAAGGCAGACGCTTAACGACTGAGCCACCCAGGAGCCCCTCCATGAATTTTTTAAATTCTTCTTTAATTTCCTGGTTGACCCATTCATTCTTTAGTGATACAGGCATACTGAATAAACAAATAAGGTGTGTGATCTTTAGCTGTGTTTTCTTCTGGCTTTGTGGAGATGGTATTGAATTACCAAAGTACAATATGATTTATTTTTTATAATACTTTGCATCAACAAAAGAACATATATTAAATGCTTGGAAAATGCTTAGCTACAGATTTATGTCCCTCACAATTTGTCTTCATTTGCATATGTTCTGGGAAACTTTAGTCTGTTCTGTTTCTCTTTTCAGAAAGAATAAGAAATTTCATCACCTTCTTGTCTATATGGTTCATTGTGGCTTGTCAGTGCTATTCTTCATTTAAAATGCAAATATTCTATTAGAGATATCTCCTATAATGATGATCTTTTTGGTAGAGTTGATAGGATGATATAGACATGTTTTCTCTAAGCCTTTGATAATTGTGTTCCTTATTTTTATTCTAGAAGAGATGCACTGCTTTTTACTAATAAGAAAATGGGGTAAAAAAAACGTGAATAAGGATTATATTTGCAGAGCCTGTCTATTTATTTAGCACATGTTTATAAAGTATCTATTTTGTGCCAGAAGCTGGGGAAACTCAGAGATGGACACTTTCTATAAGACTTTAAATTTTTGTTTGAAATGATAACATTCTGGTAAGAGCTGAGTTTTCGTCTTTTGCTGGCTGTGTTCTTTTTCTCAGCTATGGAACGGGGATATAAAATACCCATCTCGTAAAGTTTTTGATAGGAGTAAATAAGATAGTTCATCTAAAACACTCACCCCAGTGCCTGGTATATAATAAGCACTCAATATTTGTTAGCTGTCATTTACTATGAGGCTTCGTTCACAATAGCCTCTTTTCCATTTATTTTCCTGTGTTTCTTTCTGCTTATTTTTTCTGTATTGCTATCAGAGCTAAATTTCTAAAACACAGATCTGATTGTGTAACATTACCTCTTGGGACCATCTTTTCAACTTTAAAAACCTTTTATGGGACCATCTTTTCAACTTTAAAAATCTTTTGTGGTTTTCTGTTGTCACAAGAAGAAAGTCATCAGTGGCATTTAGCACCTTGCCATCAGACTCTGACCTCCCTTATTAAACCAGCTTCTGCCTTTGCCCTCCATTGGCGTGCAGCCCAAAAAGGCCATGTGCAGTATTTCACTATCTTGGCTTGTGTGCCTCAACCCTTCTTACCCTCAACTGGAAGAAACAATTTTGGGTAATGTGGGCAGCTCAGAGATACCTCTTAGTCTTCCCAGACAGAATTTTTTTATCCCAGTCATTTCTTTATCTTTAGCATTTATCACATTATTAATTATATGTGTTTTGCTCTCCCACTAGCTTGTGAGTTCCCTTTAAAGCAGAGACCATAACTTATTCATCACTGTATCACTAGAACCCAGTGGGCACTGAGTAAAAACTTGTTGAAATAATGGATTGAGATTTGGTTTAATTTTGTTTTAATTTTAATGGTTTTTGTTATTCTAGGTCCTGGGCCTTGTCCAAAATATGAGTGTTTTCCAGTGTCCAAAATGTAAACATAGAACTCATATTTTTGGTGCTGATGGTGCAAGAAGACTAGCACGGACCCTTGATCTTGATGTTCTAGGTAAGATCATAGGATATTCTTTTGCAGAGAAAATGGCAGAAGGGGGTGAGGATAAGGTGTGGTGATGAAGAGTGTCTCAGAAAATGATGAATTGTCTACAGTTTTGTGCTTTAAATTAAGATAGTAGGGAGTTGTATGTGTTAACCTTCCTTTGCTTTTTATAGTACTTCATTAGTGGAAGGCTTTTTGAAGAGGAGGTTTGTTCTGCCGATTATAACTTTTGCTGCGGGTAAAAACTGCCTGTAACTTGAATTTGAGAAGAGTTTCATGGTCTGGGTACTGTAATTTGAAGTCCTTATTTTAAATAATGGTCATCAGTTTGTTTGCTAAGGGGACACATCTCTCAGTATAAACAGGTATGTGAAAACACCTGGGTAGTGTGTTGTAGCAACCTTTGGAAGTGTCAGTTCTTGGTGCATATGAAAAAAATGCCTTCCTGATAAGTTCTCAATTTATCAGTCCTTTTGCTCTAGAAAGATAATATTTTCTGTTTTCTGTAATCTTTTTATATGTTTTTGCCATGTCTCTGAGATATGGCACCTGAAATGCACATTGTATATACTGTTCACGTTACTGAATTGAAGGATTAATTAGTGTTATGAGAAGTAAATAATGTGTTAAGTGAACAAAACACAGATTTTAGATAAAACATAATTTTTGAAAAATCCACAGGCAACTTAATGGACATTTTAGGAAATGTGTTGATATTTTCCTTTTGAATGAGTTTCTGTTCTGGGCAAAGGCAGATGTTAGATGCTGAATAAGGGAGGAATAGAGTGAATTATTAGTTTTAGGTAGTTAACAATTAAGATCCCTTAGAGATCAAGGAATTTCAAAACATTCTTTATCATAATTAAATTTCTGAAAGTTGATGTTAAATGCGTTATTGTTATTATGCATTTGCACTATAGCAGCCACCGCAGTACCAGGTGAATACTAATGATATATTTTGATACATTGCTATAATTCTAACCACTAATTATATTCTGCAACTGTTTCTTATTTAACTAACCTAGAAAGTTCAGTTTCCCAAATCTGCATAATAACAACAGATTGACATTCACTTATATAATAAAGTAAATGTGTAATTATAATGGCATTATTGAATTATGCTGACAATATTATAATTCCCTGATTTATAAATTGGTGGTACGATATTGTAAATCACTTATTTTGAATATGAAATATATCTCATAGGAAACAATCTCACTTATGGAAGTTACATTTTACTCAACAGCTCAGAAATGTTTAGTTACCCTAAAAATGTGTCAGAAACACTGATTACTGATCACAAAAAAAAAAAAAAAAAGGATAGTGCTTATAGATTGTTGTATCTAACAGTGTTCTGGGAAAAATAATTCAGAGTTCCAACTCAGGGCACATCTCTTCCTTTTAATGTAGTCATGGGGCCCAGTGAGACCTCCCATGATCTGGAACAGGGGCTCCATTAACAAAGAGGTTGGAGTCAGGAAGGAGGAACTGAAATCAGAGTAAGAGCTCTCCCAGTTATGGCCTCCTGGCTAGCTGGTTGAACTCCCCAGGAACCCTATATGTCCTTTACTGACTCCCTGGCTGCCTCTTAATTTATTTTCATCCATTGGGCTATACTTAAAAAATTATTTGGTAAAATAGCTCTCAGAACTTGCCCCATATTACCTACAAGGACAGATTATGCATAGTCATTATGTCTCTGAAATATGCCCTTGCTTCCTTCAGACCTAGTCCCTCAAAGATACTTTTTTTTTTTT